CCATAGAATGTATGTATATTTCTGTCGTCTAGAAAAGACCAGAACGGTTATCAGTTTTCATCACAGGTAGATAATGTCACCAGTCATTCTAGCATTATGTCCATCCTTGGGTTTGAGCAAGAATGTCCTTTCAGAAAGGTATTTTTCTTAATGACTGTGTTTAACCACCTGAATTTTGAAATGTATGTCTTATTACTTATCTGACTTTGCCTACCTTTTTTTCAAATGTATGTGTGAGTTCTTTTGAGATGTTATTTATTGACAAGACTGAGTTATCCAAAATCTGCAGAATGTAGAGTCTCTTTGATGATTGTTGCAGTGTGAAAAAGGTGGATACCTAAACAGTTAAACCCAGGAATTAAAAACTAGGTAGAAAGGCAACAATAGCATTTTTGCTGTTCCTTACTAGTTCACTATTTTGGCCTGTGCTACAATCCTTATTTAAATGAGCCCACATAGGTTTCATACACTATGCTGTCAGCTTAATAGATGGGTGTGTATAGCATCATGCCATTTAAGAAATTTTGTAAATAGTACAGACTTCAGACCTCCCTTCCAAACCTCGAATAGAGAACTTCAGACCTTAAAATTACTTCAATTTCTTTTGCTCTGGTCACTACTTTAAGTGCTGCTTTAGTAGCTCTCACTGGTTTTCATAGGATTGGTCTGTTCTTGATGCCAATGCAAGTTTAATTCATTCTAAAGTCACATTTTGTGAATTGTTAGGTTCACGTTTTGTGGATAACAGAAATATGTCATGTGATAGATTCTGTCTATCTACTTAAGTTTTATTTAGGGAAAGGAAAACCTTTCCTGCCCTACTATATTCGATACATTAGTATAGTGCTTCTTGTTGCGTTATTTTGTACGTAATTAAAAAGGTGGCATATATTCTGAACAGTTAGGATTCTAGCCAGGTCTTAACTACTCTATCAGTAAAATGGCATGAAGGGTTTTGAAGCATGCCCACAGTAGTTTCCTGAGTATAGAAATAAAGATGAGGGCAGACAATTTGCTAAAACCACCAGATGTAACTCTATAAATCTTACCATAGTGCTCACATAATAAAATGAGTATGACTAGTATATAAATTCTTAGGAGACAGATAATGTCTTAGAAAAATGAAGAAGTATCTCTCTCCTTTAAGAAAATACAACTGTTAGCCTATCCTAATTTGCTTTGAGGGTATGTTGCAGGCTGAAAATGAGATTTGTAGCTGTTTTCTCTAGTTTATGCCCTACCTCTTTCAAGTAGCATGTTATGGACTTGCAGATTTTAGGCTACCTCCAGTTTGATTGCTGAGGATGATGTTATACAGTACGGAAGGTCCCTTTGGTCAGTTGGGGTCAGCTGTCCCAGCTGTGTCCTCTCACAGCCTACTTGGTGGGGAGGAGGCAAGTGGGCCAGGATTTTACAGCATGAGGAACAGAGAAGTACTTGGTGCTATGCAAGCACTGCTCAGCAGTTGCTAAAACATCACTGTGATATCAACATTGTTTTAGTCACAACTCTAAAACTTGGCTCCACACAGGCAGCTGTGAAGAAAACTGCCTCCGTCCCAGCCAGACCCAGTACATCTGGGATTACCAGAGTCAGACCGGTTTATAAATAGAGCAATGGAATTGAAATATAACATTTTGATTCCATTCGTATGTCTGTCTTTTCTCTCCTGCATGGCTTGATTGTTGATGTACATCGTTGTTGTACAACCTTCACATGCTTTAGTAGTAGTAAAAGCTTTGGTTATGAACTCGCGCCCCTTGTTTAAACAGTTTGCTCAATGAGTTCTCTTCTTTCAATTACTTCTTATGCTGATTAATTTCACATCTGAATCATCAGCTCTTGAAGAGATGAAAGTTATAGCTCTTTGAAGCAGGACTTCTGACACCAGAGAGTAACACACTGACACAACTGATGCTGATTGTAGTTATACCACTATTTTGAGACACTTATGGTAAATCTCCACATTTTTAATTCTAGGGCTACTGTAGAATTTAAAGGTCTTGGGATTACAGCACTTTGATCTGTAAATGACTGTGTAGTCCTGCCTCTCAAGACCTCCAGAAAATGCACTCTGTAAATACTGATGTGCTACAAGATATTAGATCCATCTTTTACTATGAGGCAGGCTAAGTTCTTGAAGTGTTTTTTATGTCAAGTTTTTGTTACCTGTGGTAACCAGCTGTGTTCCAAGAAAGCATTGTGATCATATGGTGGTGTTACCTATGGTTGTTACAGTTTTGCTAATGTGCATTTGCTCCTGTGTTAGATTTTTTTCTGCTTCCTGGGATTAACATGTAAAGGTTACACCAGGCTACTTGTCAGGCAGATGAAATTTTCCATCGCAGAATTGAGCTAGGTACAACATATGCTCAGATGTGCATGATAAACAGAGCTGGAAAGAACACAGTTGTATTTTCTAGAGCAGACTTAACGTTTCCTACAATTGCATGCTTCAAATAAATTAACAGCTAAGTGATGCTAAATAAAATTTTAGTCCATGCACAATACCAAATTTCTCCATTAGAGGATTTAAATTTACTTCACGGCCCTCATTAATGGTTCGCATTTTATATGATGATATCTACAATTAAAACCAGAACATAAGCATGTTGTTAAGGTTAAGGATTTAAACGTAACAAAAATAACAGAATTAAGGGTGAATATTTACCAAATCTTGACTGTAGTAATAATCTCTGAAATAACATTTCATTACATAATGGAATATTCTTTCTCAGGTGTCATAAGTAATACAGAGTAACATGATATCATATGCACTATAACATACAGTTGACAGGATAAAGCACCTAAAATTCACACAATGAAAGGGTGATTTTTTTAGAGTTACTGTAATCTGTGCACCATACACCTATAGGGCTAAATTTTTAAAGGGGTCTCATTTTTCCCGCTGATTTCATATCCTCAGTCTTTTTCATGCATGTATGATAGGATTAAGATATCCCATTTTTTGCTTCAGTCCTTAATTGATATATCTTAATCCTTTCATATCTGTCCTTAAAATACGAGGCCATCTTTAAAAATTTCACCTAAAGTGCTCAATTTTGCCTTCAGATACCTCCATGCAACTTCCATTGAAGTAATTGGAGCTGTGCCTGCATATCTGATGGTGGAACTGGACTCATTGCAATTAAGGTACACATTTACCGACATAATTAGTCATCTGGAATAATTGCTGGGTCCAGTGCGATGTTCTGCGTGTGCAGAATTTCCTAGATTGGACCCTCTGCGTGTGGGAGATTGAAGATTACGATAACTTATTTCATGCCTTAAATCTGTAGTTGTAGCAGAATTTGAATGTCATTTGTGGTATTGAATTTTCCTATTTTTAAATAAGAAATGTGGAAGGAGGACATGAAAGCAACATATTTTTGACAGCGATTCTTCATATGATTTTTCATACCCAACCAGCACAGAGGCATCCCATCTTTTCCACAAGCACATTGCCAATGCTACATGCATGCACAATTGTGATTTGTGCAGTAGCATGGAGTTAAAAATATCCAACCCTGACTGTACTGCTTTTTTTTTTTTTTTGCCTCGTATCTCTGTGCTTGGAAAGCACAGACAAAACAATAGATGTGTAAAGAATACCACAGTTAACTAAGAGCATAAAAGCCACGTATGAGAACTTTAGTACCTCTTAATTCACAATACAGATCTTTAACAAACATGATAGAGTACTTCTTTTCCACTACTTTAAAATTATCTATGTTTTGTGATTGCAAGTTTATTCCCTGCAGCTTTCAAATTGGTGTCTCTCTCCTGTCACTGGTCTGGGGAGGGGCTGTTTGACTTTTATAGCTAGCTGTTCTGGAGGGAATAATGTAAATCCATTCTTGTCCCAAAAGCAGAAGATTTTGCAGAGATTTTCCTCAGTAAAATTCCAGTCTTTAACTTGTAACCACACAAAAAAAATGCCAACTTAAAGGAAGTTGTTCTGGGATGTTATAACCTGTTAAAACAGAATGACCATAGTGAGTACTCCTGTGATTTAGAATAGTTACTGATGAATATATGAGTCTAGTTAAAAAGTGCCAGTTTTTGTGGTATTGATTTTATCAGTATTGCTTTGTATTTATAGTGCTACAAAGTTTTAGAATGGCAGAATATATAGCTGCTCTGGAATTTATCCACTACCACAAAGGTTCACTTAACTTAAAGAAGACTAAGCCCAGGGTGTTTCACACCACTCTATCTGTTAGTGCAGGGTCATCCACCTGTGGTAGGCATAGCCAATAGTGATTGCCATAACTTGTTCAAATTGAAAAAAATGCTCTTTAGAGCACCACAACTTCTTGAAGGTTTAAGATAAGATTTCTGTTTTTAAAGAGATACTTCCATAGGGAAGTTGAAAACACAAGAACAAATAATTTATTGGAAATAAAAGTGAGCATTAGAGAGCAAAATAGTGATTTCAAAGGACTTTTTGGTTAAAAAAAACCAACTAGAAAATTACTGGGTTTTTTGTATGACTGGTTGAATGGATAAATTATTCCTCTCAAATAGTCTGTAGCTATGGTAAGCACATATGCTTCAAGTCATAGGAGTTAATTACTTTAAAAATAAACTTTAATATCTGTTCATTGCACTAGCTCTTAGAATGCTACTGTAATAATTTCTGCATTTAAGCAAATACATGCTTAGATGATCATGGATTTATGTCCCCTGCATCCAGAATACTCAACAGGTTTATAACTCAGCCTATCACC